TTCGGAGCACACTCTTCATTGCAGCTGTAAGTCAGCAGGAAACTTACACGGTAGAAAGGAGGAAGCAAGTAAAAAAAGTACATATAGCATGGCTGTACTGGAGAAATCTTGCTGTGCTTTTTACAAGCTTGCGTTCTTGCTCCAGAATAAGTGGCCTTCTGTGATATGCTTATTACCACTTTTTTCTTCTTTTGAGTAGCCTTGACTTAATAAAGCCATATACATATTCATCCACAGACATAAGAAGTATATGCTACCAGTGTGACAGTGGCAATGTAAAAGTAGGGACTTGCTCTGAAAGCCGGTTGAAGTCTGTCTGCCAGGCTGTGCATTTCTGTGTTTGACTAATGGGAGGGCAAAGGGCAGTTACCCACTGCAGAATTTGCTGTAATTCTGTCCACTGAACTCTTGCAATAGTAGCACTTAAAGTGGATTTATATCTGTCTCTTTCCTAAATTGAGCCAAAAGGGAAGTGCATCTCAAATCCAACAAGTATTTGTGATGTTGATGCTTCTTACATAGATAATCTTGGCAAAGAAAACAAACATTTTGGAAGAGTTCCTGGAGAGTTGTTTAATGTTAATATTAACTTTATTATTTGAGAGGGAGGAGAAAGCAAGTGATTTATTGTTTTTTTGCCCCCGCTATAGAGACCTTTAATGAGGACCATATCCTTTTTCTGACAGAAATCAGTCTGGAAGACAGTGGTGTGGTTTTCATCATAGGGGCAAAAAAAGTTAATTTTACATGAGATTTTCTTGGTCTTTTGTCATCTTTACAAACAGTGAAGTCTGTAGTCTGAACTACAGTTCTGTCTTACTGCATACATTGTTAATCACATTAAAATTTTGAATCGATAATTACCATTTCCATAGGGTATATAATGAAATAATAGGCTGCAGTATTCCATACACTGAAATTTTTAGGGCTCACAATTTGGAATGTTCAGATTTTGTCTTCTAAAAACCATGTGGGATTTGTTTTCTATGTGGGACAAGATTCATCAAATCTGTCAGACCTCAAGTAGTACTAATGTGGTTCATCCCAGCCTATATATCTTTCTATAGACAGTCATCCTGTTTCTAAACACAAAGTCTGTAATACTGGGGCTGCTAATGGTTCGAATGCTTGCCCAGAAACTGAGATATCTCAGAAGTCCATATACTTTTAAAAAATATCAGCTTTCTAAGAATGTCTGTGTATAATGATGAATCTATAAATCTTTTCTAAACTGGAATATTTCTGAATTTTAAAAAGAAAATTATGCAGTGGTTCAACCTTAGTTTATTTTAGTAAGCGAGACTTTTATGCTTCAGGGAGAAAATGGCAGCTTCAACCCCCCCTAGGAGAAAGAATCCTTGGCAGAATTTTTTGTTTCTTCACTTTTAATTTCAAGGTAGGGCAAACCCTGATCCTCCTGACTACATTTCTCTTCCACACAGAGATGCATCTTTCTGTCATATAAGTTTATGAACAAAACTACGTTGAGTTAATAAATTACCTACTTAAACTCTATAATTAATGGGTACCCTTATGTCTTCTTTTTCTGAAAGATGATTTGATTTTAATGCAGTTGGTATTTTCTATGATGTTTGTGCGTTTAAAACATTGCATTGACTTTAATTTAAAGGAGAACAATCTTATTTAACTACCCATTTGAATTAGTCTCTGAGAGGAAATAATGATAGAGACATGCATTTTCTCTATCTGTTGTACAGCTTTGTGGTATGCACACGTGGCTACGGATTTTCTTTGTCCTTGTTGCTGGTCATTCTTTGTTAGCTTATGCCTTCTTTTGCATTTGGCTAAGCTAAATTCAGCCAAAAGTTTTGGAAAGCTGTGGTTAAAAAGTATTTGTCAGGCTAAATAAAATCACTTACTGTCATTCACAGTAGCTAATTGCTATTGGCATTACCCTGATTACAAGAAGGACCACATTGCTTTTGCCCAGGTCACTTTTGAGAGTTCTGGCTCCTGGCAAGCTCTGATTTTGGTCTCTGAAAAATGGAAATGAGGAATTCAGGAGAAAATTTGTTACATGTCCTGTGTGGAATATTCACAAAATGTTTGACTATATAACTAACTTTTAAAGATTTTAATTTTTTTTTTTTAATACATGAACCTATCTTCAAGGAAGAAGAACAACTTGATTGCCTTCTTCCTCCACTTTTGGATTCTAGTATCAGAGTTGAAAGATAATGCTCAATTTACCAATAAAAATAATCTTTATTACCTAAACGCATCCCTTAATATTCTCCAGGCTATCACATGACCTTTTGAACAAAGTCTGTAACAAGAGTCACTTGGTCGATGTTTAAATAAAATTTAAAAAGAAAAAAAATATTGAAATCCTGTCTGGAAGAAGCTGTAGACACTAAATATCATCTTGACTTGGAGGGGTAAATTGTGGGCTATACATACCTACATCCTAGATGTCTACATTTTGCACTTCCCATTCCTTCTTTAACGTAATGTGCATGAGGCATGTGATGGATCAGTCTCTCCCCAGGATCAGAGAATGTTTTGGTCATGTGAAGAGGCAAAAGTGACCACACAGGGCGTCCACAAAAGCAAGTGACTTTGTGCATGGGAGTCAGTGGGAAAAGTGGGAGGTTTCCTCACATGTGAAGAGCTCTGCATGTTCTCTCCAATGTTACAGGCCTTGTCAGACAGCAGGTAATCTATCTCTAACAATTAGGGGTTTAAAGAAAATGGATAAATTAATAACTGTGCTAGGAAACAGTAAAATCCAGGCATAGCAGCACTGGAGCAGAAGATGGGAGCTAGCTGAGTTTCACTCCCATGGAAAGCATGAATCTTTACATGTCTGGTGACTGCTCTGTGATGGTTGATTTATCTGTAGTCTCTGGAAATGTACTTACGAGTCTTTAAGATCAAGAAAGGGAACTAGACCCTTGTTACAGCAAAAATGCTGCTTGCTCTCCAACCATCCTGTTTACTGTATTCCAGATAAAACTTGAAGTTAGAATTTGAAGTTGGAGCAGTACTGCTTTCACATTAAAACTTCAGGCTGCTTTTACAGTATATCTTTGTGGTGGCTTAACCTTGGTTAAGGGCTGAACTTCCACCCAGTCTCTTGGTCACTCTTTCTGCTGCCTCGACAGAGCAGGAGGAGAAGATTGCATGAGAAAGGTATGAGTCAAGACAAAGACAGGGAGGGAGGTTGCTTACCAGTTAATAACATGGGCAAAACAGACTCGACTTGGTTGTCAGGGTTTGAGAAAACCCATATCGATTTATTGTTGTTTAGACAGTTATCCTGTCATGATGATCTCTCCCCACCTGGAAAGGGGAATTGGTGAAAACAAGGGAACGACGAGGGTTGAAATAGAAATAGATTGGATAGGGTGACTAAATAATTAACAGTAACACTAAAGAACCAGTATTAATCCCGATACTGATATAAGATATACAATAATTATACTCAGCCAGTTCTACCAGGGGGAAGCTGTGCACTCCCAGCAGGGACAGCAGATGTCGGACGCTGTGAGTGCTACGGCTTTGGGGAGAAGGGCTCAAGGGTCCAGCACTGGGGCAAGAAGTTCTCTGGACCACCGCCATCAAGGGAGAAAGAAAACTACCCAGCAAACTTTCTAATTATATTGCATGTGACAGTATATTCATGGTATGAAATAATCCTGTTGGCCAGCCTAGGTCGAGAGCCTTCATCCCTGCACCTGGCAAGGCTGGAAAACACTGAGACCTTGAATCCCACAGAGCCTAGCTGGCTATGAAGTAAATATTTTCATGAATTCAAATGCTAGTCTTCTAAAATTGCTATTTTCCCAAGCATTTTCCCAAGAGAAGTTAGTCCTGTGTTGCTAAAAACAGAACACTTGAGGAAAATTAATTTAATTTGTTGTAAATTAAAATAGATTTGGATAATGAGAAACAAACAAAACAAAATTAAAAGAAAACCCAAACCAACAAACAAAACCAGAAAACAAAGCGCCACCACTCCCTTACACCACTTTTCCTATGCTCAACTTCACTCCTTTGTTCAGGACTTGTCTGTCTCCTGCAGTGCAGGGAGACGGGAAATGGGGTTTACGGTCAATCCCTAACTGTTCCTCTTTGCTGCTGCTCCTTCCTGATAGTTTCCCCTTGTTCCAGCACAGGGTTGGGTAGGCACTGCAGTCCTTCAGGAACTACTCCAGCATGGGCTGCAGGGAAATACCTTTTCCAGTTTGTGGAGCACCTCTTCACCTCCTTCTCTAACCTCAGTGTTCACACTGCAGTTTCTCACACTTTTTTTGTCCTCACTTCCTCTGACTGTGCAGTGTTTTGCTCTTTCTTAAACCTGTTTTCTGTGAGGCGCCACCATCCTGCCTGAGGGATTGGAACCAGATGATTTTTAAGGTCTCTTCCAACTGTAACCATTCTGTGATTCCGTAAGGGGCTCACAAATGTCCTGGTCCTGCAGTGGATCCGTTGGAGCTGGCTGGATCCAGCTCTCTGGAACAGAGGAGTCCCTGGCCTCTCCCCACAGAGGCCACCTCTGCCACCCAAACCTTGCCACGTATACCCATTACAGTCTTCCTTCACATGGCTCTTGTTGAAAGCAAAGACTGCTGTATATATATGCATATACTGCTGTATATGCATATTTATGGGATGTCAGCAAACTGCAGAACCTTTTGCTGCAGGTGAGATGAACTTTCAAGTGTACTAGACATTGCTCAGGACAAGAGAAGGCGTGCTAAGGACTTGGGTGCCATGCTGTGTAAGTAGCCATAATAGAACAAGTTATGCTATTTTCTGAGGGGCTTGCGTTGTATTTGCATGGAAGTTGAAACATGATTTGCTCATTAAGCAGAGGATAGCAGTGTGTTTCATTAACCCATCCACTGTTGAGAAAAAACATGGATAATGTTTGTTGGAGAAGTTTTATTCTGCTACTACTGTGATTTTCTAGTTCCTTAGGCAGGTGAGACTGTCTCTGTTGGTAATGTTTAACTGACATGCTTTCCCTGTAACAGATCATGGTAATGTCAGATGGCACATCCTTCTCTTCAGGACAGAGCCTTCATCTCCCCAGCCTTCCCAGTAACTCCCTGTCTTTTTCGGAAGTGAAGAAGAAATCATCTCATGGGCCAAAGGTGAGACATACTTTGCTAGAAGATATTTGAGCCGGTGGTTCTTTCCCTGGGAATATACTTGAGAAAAAAAATATTTCTAGCTATTTTTGCAGTCTCATGACATAGTCCAGTGATAATAGGTCTTGACATTTCTTTGCTGTGAACTTAATGTTTATCACATGAAAAAAATGCAGAGCAAGGATGGTTGTGAGAACAGTTGCCAATGAAGGTACTGCTTTTCTGGTTCTTGTACATGCACAATTATATTCCTTTTGTTGCAGAAGGAATTTAAATGGTCTGTTGTAGTATTAGGGAATTTTCGTGATGGAACTGTGGTCTACAGAAATGTGAAGAGTGTGAGAAAATTCTATAACAATAATTTTTTTTAAGTATTTTTGAATACTTTTTAAGATAATTGAGTAGAGTGAAACTTAAAGTTGCATTCTTTAGGATTTTTAATTTTGTTTAAATTTGAGGGTTTAATTCTTTATTAGTGTTTCAAAGACAGCAATGTGTCCTCAGTCTCTAAGACATTAAATTCAATCCCCAACCTAGAACATGGTGAAAAGGTATAGTCCAATGAACCTGTTGAGTAATACAAATGGACCTTCCCGAAATATCAGATGATTTCTTTAGTTTGACAAAATGCATTAATGATGTGAGAGAATAAATAACATCTTGTAATTTACTCAAATAAAAAATGCAACACAATGACTTGCTTCATAAGTGAACTAACATATATGCCTTTTCTCCATTCTGTCAAATTGATTGGGGTTTGATTTTTTTTTCCTTAGCATCCTGTCTATTTGAAATATGTTACTTAATCTTGCAGTGAAAGTACAGTAAGGGGCAATACCCATTTTCATCAACAATTTTCATGTTCTGTAACTGTGCCAAAAGTTGTATCTTCTAAAAACTATGAGTATGCCTAAGTGTGTCCATTGATAAGAATGTATCCCAACAGCAGGTATATTAGGAGGAGGTTGAAAATAAAATTATTTGACATGTTCCTGCTTGGTTTACATTGTACCTGAGTGCCTCACAATTTCTAATGCAGGTCTTCTTGTGATATTTAAAGGATATGTGGATGTGTGATTATTTTTATTTTTCTAATGAGCAGCTGAGGTAGAGTATCTGTCTGAGGATAGACTGAAGGCACTTACTTTGGCATGCTAAAATGACTGCTTAATGCCTAAAAGGAAGGCACTTGGCTGCACCAAAGTGTTGCAAGGTGCTGAAAATAACCAACTGTTTAGACTAAGACACATCTCCATCTACTCAGATACTGAAGTTGAGTTATTTTGACACTTTATGATCTGTAATAAGGGTTCTTGTGAGGTTGGGTAGCTCTCTACAGTTCATTTTCCAATCACTACTTCGGATTTGGCTGTAATGTTGATTCACCCATGTCTCGTGTCACGTGCCAAAGCAGTTATACTGAGGCTTGGCCTAAATGAGCAACCCAAACAACTGCAGAACGACTTTAGGGAAGTACAGATATGATACCAAGTCCTACAATGACACTCCATCTAGTTAACTGTACACCCTGGTGTGTCTTGAATCTCTAGCATAAATTCTTTCATAAGCCAGTGCTAACCTTTGAAATCATTGTTTTTTTCAACCTTGTATGATGTTCAGTGGAGTTTTTAATAATGGGAGGAGTTATACCAATGCGCTGTTTTCTGTGAGTCCGTGCGAATATTCAGTTTTTCCCCTCCTCCAGCAACCTTTGTCATCTCCTGTCCAACTTAAAACACACACTAATGAGCATTGTTCTTGTATCTCATAAAGAAAGAGTTATAAATATCTGCCTTACTGAGGATCATCAGCTGTTTATGAGTAATTAAACCACAAAGTAACCTTGGTTTTAGTAAAATAAAAAGGTTTGGGTTTCTGTTATAAATCCTGGGAGCGGGGGACCCTTGGATTTTTGTCTTTAGGGTTTTTGTTTTGGCTGGGGGGCAGGAGAGTTCCAGACAGTGTTTAAATAGATTTTTGTAATTTGGAATAACTCTAGTGATGGAACAACTTCAGTGTTCAAATTTCATTTAGATATGACTCTAGAATAGGAACTGTGGAAAGATCTTGGTAGTTCTTGGGTGTAAGTTATCTATACACTGTGTGTGTAAGGACTCCAGGTCTCTACTGGATGATTTGAGGATTTTTCTGCTGCAGCACTAGCCTTTTGTTGTGCTTGGCTTGGTTCTGGTTTGTTTTGTGTCTGTGAATACCAAAGAAAACTTTGAGGTTGGTTTTAGACTGTGAGTATGGGAAACCAGAACCAAAGAATATTTGCTTACCCATTTGGCATTGCAAAACACCACATAGACTTTTTTGGTTAGAGGAGAATTGCAGTGAAGATAGTAAAACCAGTGCAATGAAGTGGTATTGCTGGTTTAGCATTCACTTACAAGAATGTACAATGCAGTATGAAGTAAGACAGAACTGTCAGTTTGCTTTCTGTCCCATCCTGAAATAGGTTTTAAAAATATAGAAGTTTGTATTTCTGAAGTTCCATGACTTTGTGTTTACTCTTATGGAGATTATATTAGTGAGCCCCAGAATTGTGGTTCTAAAATAATGCTTTAGTTTTGGAAATACAGAGGACAGACAGAAATGTGTGAAACCTTACTTTATGCATTTTTTCAGAATATGAAAATAGCTGCAGGCTGGCTACAGATACTTGTGTAGCTTTTAAATCAGTTGTATTACTGTGCCCGTTTGTATTGTGTAAATACCGCACAGAATACAGTGAAGCAGCTTGATTAGTTTAGCTGGGAAGATTATGTCTTTTGAAATGAGTTTTTTTGTCAGCTGCTGCAGTGAAATGAGGTTTAGTTTATACACAAAAAACCCAAAAGCTTTTGTTCCCCTGTGTGACCAGAAAAAAAAAAGAAAAAGCTTTATGCTCCCCCTTTTGGCTTTCTCTGTCAAACCAGTGAGCCTTGTAATTCTCCATCTGCTTCTAATACTCCTGATGTCATTGGTCATAATAATTGGGTGGGCTGGACAAGCTAAAGTGTGGAGAGCTTTGTAAGTGTGATGTAAGTGCAGTACAGTAATAATCTGTAAGAACTAGCAGCAAGTAAACTCACCTCCAGCATGCAACTAGCAAGTGGAAGAATGCAGCTTTCAAAATGTTGGTGTTCCTATCTGCC